ATATGTAGTTTTTCTTTGAGGTGTAGAAATGTGAGTGCCCTCTAGTGCTGCTGAAGTCGGTAGGCTCACCTACCAGGCTTAGTCTATGGCTAAATGATTTTATAAAATTCCAGTTTGAAAAACAAGATGTCATGACTGGACTGTTTGATGTTCCAGGGCCCTCTGTCAGTGTTCCTTATGTCTACCTGCAACATTGTTGTTTGCTGATTTTTAGGTTTAATTGAGCCAAACCAAAGTGAGGAGGATGGAATATCCGCCCTGTAAGAGTTTAGAGTGGGCTTGGACAAAGAGTTAGTAGCAGAGATTAGCAGAACCTCTTTAACAGTGGAGGAGCAGCTTTAGCAAGCTACAGAGCAGCAGAAAACTGACTGCATCAGAAAACCCACCTGTCATTCTTATACTGATAGTAGATGCTCCCAGCCAGTTTCCTACTTGGATCACCAAATGCTAGAAGCCAGTGAAGAGCAAATATCCTTCAAGTTGAAGCTGACCAATATTCATATTCTAAACAGTTATGCCAAAATTTCAGGCTAAACTCTATAAACACTCAGTCGGGTGCTGTCATGTTTTGTGATGCTGCGCTGGTGCAATGAATGTGTTGGACCTATAGGATGTAGGAACAAGATGTAAGTACATTTTGACTTCCCTAAGGAAGTCTGAAAAGTCTAAAGACTAGGGAGGGAATGTTTCCCTTCATGCATAATTAGGTACAAGATAGCAACTTATCTTTAGATATGGCAGCCAAGATGGCCCTAGGGGGAGAGGAAACGCTTCCTGAAACCAGTAAACCACACTGAAAGGACTATCCTTTAAAAGCAACATTATCCATTACATATGTTAGCATACACAAATTGCATTTATGAGGCTCTGAGATGTGGCAGTAAAGAGCAGAGAATTCTCTGTCCACTACAATAACCCAAGAGCATAGCCGACGCCATGAGATTTTCCTTCTTTACCTGCTAGTAACTGTTTCTTGCTCTCTGTGGTGTCTCAGTAACTGCACAGGGGATGCTTGCTCAAGCTTTTCACCTGACCTGCACCAGGAATATTTGGAGATCTTTGTGTTGTCAAGGAGCAACTCCATATGGGGTGACCTTTGGTGACAGTAATAAGTAAGAATGCATGCTGGAGGTTTTAACATCTTGACAGTTTAAACACATTACTCAGCGTCAGCAGTCTGACCCCAAACTATGGGGACATTAGCCATGTTAGTCTACATTTTCCAGATGTCAGATTTTAATTCCTAGCTCTCATTATTTCTTGAGTACTTGCAAAGGTGGTGGATTTTTTTTCCTAAGCTGGTTTTGTGAAAGGATAGAAACCAAACCAGCCAGTTAGTTCACGGGTTTTAGAGGGTCCCCAAATTATACCATGATTTCAGGGTGCCCAATCCCTATAAGTCTCTGGGCTACTTTTCCAAGTTGTTTATTAAAAGGGGACTAGACAGGTTCACTGAAGATAGGTCCATCACTGACTGCTAGCCATGGTGACTAAAGGGAACCTCCATATTCAAGGACAGCAGACTTCTGAATACAAATACTAGGATGAAACATCAAGGGAAGACCTTGATCTCTGTACCCTATTTGTTGGTCCTCCAGGGCAACTGGTGGAATAGGATGCTGGATTAGGTGGAACATTGATGAACTCCACAGGATGGAGTATTGCATAAACTACATGATGCTGCATCTCCTTTCCCCCCCTGGAAATTCTGGTCTGTTCTTGCTGACTGCCATGGGGAGGATCAGAGGCTAAAGACTGAACTCACCACTAGTTTCACCAATGAGGTTTCATTGCTAAATAGAGCTGCCAGGTCCCTCCTGGCAACCAGCGGGGGAGAGGGGACTTACCGGGAGCAGCAGTGTCAATGTCACTGCCCATGTGACCCAAAAGTGATGTCGTCTCATCAGGATATTGGGGTGGCACGTTGTTATTTGGGCAAAAACTCTATGGTAAATTTGGCTTCTACCATAGAGTTTTTGCCCAAATACGAGAGCATTGCCCCGACGTCCCAGATGTGATGACATCACTTCCAGGTCATGTGGCCAGTGATGTAGTCATATTGCTGCACATTGGCTGGATCTCCCTCTCTTTTAGTGTAAGTTTCCCCCCACCAGCTAATTAGTGGCATAGAGGTGGGTCCCGTCAGCAGGAGACCGCCACCTCCACCAGAGCATTTGGCAAGCCTATTTTTAAGGGAAGGGAATTATGGCTTCCTTTAAAATCTAACCATTCTTTCCCTTTGCCTATAACCATTCCCATTTTGCACTTCAGAATGGAAAAGACAAAATCCTACAGAGTTTATTGGGTAGTTATGTCCAGCTAGGCCTCAGCTGTGCCAAAGAGGAGAAGGGGAAAGGACAATGGAAAACAATGTGTGAAACAGAAGTGCTGGAGGCAATCACTCTCTTATATCCAATTTAAGGCCTTGCGCAGCCACCCATGAAATCATATGATAGAGTTAACCTCATGTTACTAGAGACAGGAAAGGGAAATGAATTGGCTGCTCAAGGCCTCTGGTGGAGAGTAGCATTTTTCTTCCCTCCACAAGCCCCACATAAGACAACTGGGACTTTGTGGTGTGCTGGCTGCTGAGTCTGAAAGAGGTTTGCTTGATAAATGGGGGGGGGGAATCCCAGAGTCTACCAGATGGGGTCTGTGCTTTCCAAAATGCAGGCCTTTCTTTCCTAGGAGGAGGGTGAGTGAACGCAGAACCATCAGTCTAACCAATCCCATGAGGTTACACAAGGCCTTAGGTGTCAGACACACATTTAACTCCCTCTCCCCCCACTCTCTACCTTTTCCCAACCTATTCCATCTTCTGTTTGGACTGGCAGGGGAGAAGCTGTCAGAAGGGGGGAAGCAAGATGAAGGGCAAGTATACAGGAAACACATTCCCTCAGGAGTTAGGAATGGGCAACGAGATTAATCTGAGGGGAGATTCAGGTCAAGGATTCAATATACCTAATTTATCTGAATCTCTGAACGGGCATAGGCCTTATGACAAATTCACTTGGTATTAGGTTTCTTTGGGCCAGTTCTCATAGGACAGTAGTTCATGGCCTAATTTCTCCAATCCGCTGTAATCTGTCAGCCTTCTTTCTGAATGATGTTCAACATAACATCCCCTGAAACACAAGACTTGTTGTGTGAACCCAACTAGTTCCATAATTTTTAGTGCAGGTTGGTCCTAGGAAAGCTTCCTGAGAGATAAAGAAGCTTGTACCAGGACAGTTGTATAGAATACTGTGTGGATGTATGGATATTTTCACCACAGGGACCGTTCTAAGACTTAGAATGCTGTTCTATGACTTACAAGGGCAGCATTGCATTGTATAATTCCCTCAAATAGTCATTGCTCTATTTGATTAGCATCACAACACAGATTAAAAAATAGAGAAAACTTGGGTCCAGACAAGGGTTGCCAGGTCTGGGTGGGAAAATACCTTGAGACATTGGGGGTAGATCCAGCAGAGGGCAAGGCTTAGGGAGGGGAGGTAAAATATTAAATCAGTAAATATGATACCATGCCAGACAGATGATGGACAAGTGTTCACGTTTGTTCACAGCATGGCCAACTGCATACATGTGTTAAAAAGTCAGCTCAGAGATCCCTGTGCCCAGAGGCCTTGCCAACAACAGGCAGGATGGAGATAAATGCAGAGAAGAGAGTCCGCTAAAAGAAATGGAGAAGAAGCAAGATAATAACTGACAGTGCAAGATGTAGAGAAGGTGTGGCTGTAGCCATTTGGGAGATGCTGCTGTCTCCCAGCAGGAGTTTGTTCTGATAAATTTCTAAAAACGACAACCTGCTGTAGTCATTGTTCTGCTAGCACATTTACTGCATATGCACAGATGGTTTATCTTCAGGATTTATGAAGCACCTTTGGCCATCCTATCTGCATTTATGAGAAACATCCTGGAGTTCATACTTTTTGCTGTCTAGAAACTAAGGAAGTAGTACTTTATACAAGTAATGTAGTCAGAGAAGGATAAAGCCCTCTAATCTCCTGCTGGGTTTGACCAAGGATAGGGCTACATAGATAACACAGGAGGCCTTTGGGAAATGATGCCCACTTCTTCTGTGTTTTATGCATAACTCTAAGAATTCTAGAGATTAATTCCACTTGTTCATACTATTAAACTGCTTCAGTCTCTGAATAATTCTCATATAGGTAAACTTGAGCCCTTAGATCACCTTTTCATGCTGTACCTAATTAAACTGTACTATGTGCTAGTAGTTCTTGTAGCAAGACAGTTGGATTTGTTCACTAACCCATTCCAAACTTTTGGGAGAATTCAAGCATTATTGAATTGTTTCCTGAGCTGATAGAACAGATTTGTCAAGGAAAGGACTATCAGTGGCTACTAGCCATAGTGACTAACAGGGACCTCCGTATCCAGAGGCAGTAAACTTCTGAATACAAATGCTAGGAGGTAGCATCAGTGGAAGGGCTTGTCCTCTATGCCCTGTTTTATTGTTCCTCCAGGATGACTAGTTGGCTG